AGTCCACCAGCTTGATCCTGTCCGTGTCCAGATCGACGATCACGTTCTCCATCTTCAGGTCTCCGTGAACTACGTTTCGTTTCAAGCAACCGACGCAGGCGTCCACGATTTGCCGAAAGAAGCATCTGCATCTCTACTTCGGGATACTGCCGACTTTCTCCAGAACTTGAAATAGGTCGGAGCTCCGAAGTGGCCGTTCCATCACGAGTAAATGACAATCTTCGACCTGGTGAACGTCCACGAATCCGATGCAACCCTCGATCCCCGAGACCACACGTAGGAAGTGCGCCTCCGCCAATATCAATTCGCCCGATTCGTTCGTCAGGTAGGACGCCGAGGAGTTTCTCACTATCTTTACGGCGACCGGCAGTCCGTCGGCTCTTCTGATCGCCGAGTAAACGCTTCCGAAAGCACCGTCCATTAAGTGGTCCGACAAGTCGTACAGGTCCATAGTTGTTTTCTTATTCGTTTTCCACCGATAGATGTTAGATAGAAAAGAAAAAATGCGAAACTAATAACAATTTTGTTTTTCTTTCTTCTTTTATTGGTTTTTCAAAACACATTCTCTCCGTGCTGCGCCAGCAGCTTGTCGCACGCGGCGAGCAGTTCGACGTCGACAGAGTGAGGAGGGATCGACCGATCGAAAATGCCGTTAGTCGGACGAGCAGCACACACACCGCGATCTTCTTCGTCGCTGCTGCTATCTCCGTCGTTTCCGCCTCCGGCGCCGTCCACCTCCACGTCGTCGTATCCTCTCCGCAGCAGCTGCTGGAGCTGCCTGATGATGGATCTGATCTTCGGTTCGTTGGACGCCTTGCTTCGGGATGCCATAAGCTTTCGATCGCGGCGCTCGTTTTTGAAGTCCTCTTTGTACGATTCGCACTGAGCCTTCAGCAGCGAGTTCATATCGGAGAGGCACTTGTACTGCTTGCACAACCTCACGGTGTCCGGTAGCATGTTCTTCAGAACTTGGTAATCGTTCTTCGCTTTGTCCAACTGCTCACTGAGGAGCGCTCTTTCCCTTCTCCCGACGTTTTCGTCGTTTTTCAGAGACTGACAATTGTTTCTAAATCTGTCGATCTGCTGCATGAGAAAATCTCGTTCTTTCGTCACCCTGTCGAGCTCTTTGTTAGCGGCGTCCACCTCGACTCCGGCGGCGACCCGTCCTAGTCCGACGTAATCGGGCGCCGTGGGCGGCGGGTGCCCGTAGCTCTCCGCCGCCTCCGCTCGAGCTCGCAGACGGTCCATCTCGTTCAGCATCGCACGTTTGGACTGGTGCATATCGTCCAACTCCTTCTGAAGCTTCTCTGCTAATTCCTTCGACTTTCCCATGCCTCCTTTCGAACGTTTAATGCGGACAAGAATCCGTACGCATCACACTTATAGTCGCGAAGGATTTACCCGATGACGTCGAGTGACGTCAACGTTCGAAATGATGGGCTTCGAAGTCTATCTTCATGAACAGTTTCAGTTGCGGACTCCTGTTCCTGCCGCGATAGTCGCTGACAAATTCGCCTATCGCCTTCACCATGCACGGCGTGACGCGTCCGCTCCTCGTCCGGCACACGTAGTTGGCTACCTTCATGCGTTCGTGCAGCTGACGTCGATCGTCGCAGAACAGCAACGTCGGGTACGGATGATTGAGCACGGTCGGCCCGTCGTACTTTCTCATGCCGACGACCAGGTAGACCTTGGTGCCGGCGCGCGCCTCCCGACTAGTTTCGTGCGCGCCGGACAGAGTCGTGATCATCCTTCCGCAGTGTTGGGTGGTTATGCACGGGAAGGCCTCGCCCGAGTACGCGTCCTTGCCACCGTACGAAAGTTGGTATCCGATGGGTTGGAAGTAGGCGTTGAAGTCGCGCGGGGATTGCATTCTCGCGAGCACCGACCCGAAACTGTCGAAGCCGCGACGTCCGCACACGGTTTCCAAGTACTCGGTGTACGGTGCGTCGAAGTCGAAACCTTCGTTCATCTCTAGCGTCGCCTCCTCGTCGATCATGCTCTGCAGCTGGGCCAACGGCACCGTCCTCTTGCCGAGGTTGGGATTGGAGCAGGGTTCTGGAAGTTCGTAAGGATTCGTCGGTTGCGGCATGGCCGTCGACATCTTATCTTGACCGTTGTACAGGAGGAGCATTTCCCCGCGGTTGAACACAAGCCGTCTGTCGAAAAACTCGTGAAACGTCGTCACGTCCCTGACGCCGACGTTCGGTTTCTGAGCGCGGGTCGACACCGGAAACATGGCGCTCCTGCCATCTCCGAGATTTGGCTTTCGCGCGTCGCCGTCGGAAAAGTCGACGTTGAGTCGGCGTCCGCCACGACGCTCCACCACGTCCACCTTCGTCTCCGGCAACACACCTACGTTCCATCGTCTCGTGTAAGGTCGGAATCGAGCAGACATCTTCCGAGACACGTCTTAACTTTAGAGGGGAAGTTGGGAGGAAAACATAAATGTGTTATTTATGTACCCGGAACCATGATCGCTTCTTTTTACCGAACGGCGGTCGCGAGGAACCTCGCGTACATGGTTTGTCCGGACGGGAGCCTCGATGCGCCTGCTCCGCTACAATCCGATCAACGGCACGTTCGTCAGATTGTCAGATTCGCTGGTGCCGCGATCGAACGAGTCGGTGTCTTTGTGCCGGATCGACGAACACGTCCTACTGCTGAGCGGCGGGGGCACTAAGGAACTGGAAACGTACGATCTGTCGAACGAGCGACACGGCGGCGGCGTCTGGAAGGTGGACGCGAACTTCGAGGAGGTCGGAGTCGATTCCTACGTCGCGCACGCCGCCTGCCGGCAAAACTCCGACCTGTGTCTGTGGTACGTCGACGGACACGGAGATCACCTTCTGATCGTGATGAGACGTGCGAGCGGCGGATTAGCGGGTAGGAGGACGCATGGAGAATGGAAGGTGATACTCAGATATCCGATCGCCGTTCCGGAAGAGCACAGCCAGAAGGACAGCGAGCGTCTCACTTTGCATTCTTTTCCTGAAAGCGATGCCATCGTCGCCTTTCACGGCAACGTCGTCACGACCGTTCACGTTCCGTCCAGCTACTTCAACTCCACGTTGATCCCTTCGCACCCGACACCTGGAGATTGGGTGTCCGAGACGAAGTTTGCCGACGCCGATTTCGTGTACAGAATCGGTCTCAATGGGATAGTCGACAGGGTCGTCTTCTCACGATCGGAAACGTTCGGTGTCAAAATCAAAGTGGTGGACAGGACGACGACCCTCGATCACGGGTTCATCGTTACCGCCGTC